TAAATATGTAATTGTGTTTTAGGTGATAAAGTTGTATGTTGGGGACATTTATAAGATACAGATGTAAAAGATGCGATTGCTGTTTCCCCAAAAGCTTGGCAAGGTTGGATTCTCTTACTGTGATCTGATTGTATCTTGATTCTGTTGCCCGAAGAGAAGTGAAACCCCCATCTTTGTTTTGTTTTTTGTTTTTTGTTTGTTTTTGAGACAGGGTTTTGCTCTATTACTCAGGCTGGAGTGCAGTGGCGCAGTCTCAGCTGACTGCAGCCTCTGCCTCTTGGGCTGAAATGATTCTCCTGCCTCATCCTCCCAAGTAGATGGGATTACATGCACCCGCTACCACAAAATTAACCTGGCTAATTTTTGTATTTTTTGCATAGATGGGGTTTCACCATGTTACCCATGCTGGTGGACTCAAGCAATCTGTCCACCTTGGCTTCTCACAGTGCTGGAATTGCAGATGTGAGCCACTGCAACTTGTGTGTTTTTTTTTTTTTTTTTTTTTTCTTTTCTTTTCTTTTTTTTTTGAAGACATGGGGTCTCACTGGCGTGGTGGCTTGTGCCTATAGTCCCAGCTACTTGGGAGGCTGAGGTGAGCAGATCGATCACTTGAGCCCAGGAGTTCTGGGCTGTAGTGCGCTATGCCGATCAGGTGTCCGTACTAAGTTAGGCATCAATTTGGTGACCTCCCGGAAGTGGGGGACCACCAGGTTGCCTATGGAGGGGTAAACCGGCCAAGGTCAGAAATGGAGCAGGTCAAAACTCCCGTGCTGATCAGTAGTGGGATCATGCCTGTGAATACCCCCTGCATTCCAGCCTGGGCAACATAGCAAGACCCTGTCTCTCAAGAAAAGAAACAGAGATGGGGTCTCACTCTTAACCTAGGTTAGAGTACTGTGATGTGATGATAGCTCACTGCAGTCTTGAATTCCTGGGCTCAAGCAGTTTTCCCACCTCAGCCTTCCAAATAGCTAGGATTATGGATGTGTACCACCACATCTGCCTTTTTTCTTTCTTTTTTTTTTTCCAATTTTTTTAGAAACACAGTCTCACTTATATTGCTCAAGCTTATAAGAGGTCTCAACTCCAGACCTCAAGTGATCCTCCTGCTTAGGTCTCCCAAAGTGTTGGGATTACAAGCATGAGCCACCACACCCAGCCTTAAGACTCCTTTATAAAGCTATAGCTGAAAGGACCAAGTAAGTACCTGTGTCAGAGACTGATTAGTTTTATTGCGTTTTATAACTCAGAAAACAGAGTTAATGTATACTTGATTTTTGGTCATTTAATAGTGAGCCTATTTATATGAAGCTGTTGTAGTCACAGATTTGGCATATTCCACCCTTGCTACTTTTTAAAAAGGCTAAAATTCAGTTTTTCGCTTTGTAGATTTTATGAAAATTGAGAGTGCTGTTTAATAGAACAAAAACAATGTGATGTTTTCTAGAAAAGGATAAGGAACAGAATTATGTTAGAGTGATTTCCAACTTCAGTGCCTTTGTTGAAGCTCCTTCCTTGTTTCCTTAGTCAGTACTGACAACCCAAGTTTCTCTGCCCGGCCACCCTTTAGCTCTCAGTATCTCTGGTGTCCGCCTCCAGCCTATCTTCAGTGGGTCTAACTTGCCTGTCATGGGTCTTCCCCACCTGAACCTTGGTTGTGCTTTGCTCAGAGTAGCAGCCTGGTAATACTGTTTATTTTTTTGTTCCTTATGTCCCCATTTCACCAGTCTCACACACTCTTCTTATTTGCCTTTTGTGGGGTTCTGTCTTTCCTGGTCCAGGATTTTGGGAAGCTACTCTTGACCAACATACTGCCAATTTAATTGCTAGAAGAAGTGATCAGTATGTGAAACTGGGTGGTGAGATGCCTGTGTTCTGTACCCATCTGTTACTTGGTGGCATGATTCTGAGGGGTTACTTTTCTTGTTCCTTATTTCTCACAGTTTTTGTTTTGTTTTGTTTTGTTTTTGAGATGGAGTTTCACTCTTGTTGCCCAGGCAATGGTACGATCTTGGCTCACTGCAACCTCCACCTCCTGGGTTCAAGCAGTTCTCCTGCCCCAGCCTCCCTAGTAGCCGGGATTACAGGAGTGCACCACCATTCCTAGCTAAGTTTTGTATTTTTAGTAGAACCAGGGTTTCACCATGTTGACTGGGCTGGGCTTGAACTCCTGACCTCAGATGATCCACTTGCCTCAGCCTCCCAAAGTGTTGGTATTATAGGCATGAGCCACCGGGCCTGGTCACAAAGTTTTAAGCTTGATTATCCTCATACAGAGAATTTGAACTCTTAGAAGCTCAGTTGTTTTTGTTGTTGTTGTTGTTGTTGTTGTAGTTTTTGTTTTTGAGGGGGAGTCTCACTTTGTTGCCCATGCTGGAGTGCGGTGGCATGATATTGGCTCACTGCAACCTCCATCTCCCCGGTTCAAGCGATTCTCCTGCCTCAGCCTCCTGAGTAGCTGGGATTACAGGCATGCATCACCACACCCAGCTATTTTTTTTCTATTTTTAGTAGAGACAGGATTTCCTCCTGCTGGCCAGGCTGGTCTCGAACTCCTGACCTCAAGGGATCTGCCTGCCTTGGCCTTCCAAAATGCTGGGATTACAGGCGTGAGCCACCACGCCTAGCCTTTTTTTTTTTTTTTTTTTTTTTTTTTGAGATAGAGTTTTGCTCTTGTCACCCAGGCGGAGTGCAATGGCACGATCTCAGCTCACTGCAACCTCCGCCTCCCAGCTTCAAGCACTTCTGCCTCAACCTCCCAAGTAACTGGGACTACAGGTGTGTGCCACTCTGCCTGACCAGTTTTGTATTTTTAGTAGATGCGGGGTTTCACCATGTTGAACAGGCTAGTCTTGAACTCCTGACCTCAGGTGATCCACCCACCTCTGCCTCCCAAAGTCCTGGGATTACAGGCATGAGCCCCTGCACTCAGCTAGAAGCAGTTTTTGAGAAATACAAAGCAGGAGTGTAGCACTATGTGTGTATTCCGGCCCACTACTGTTGTGCCTGTTCTAAATCCCTCCTCCTGAAATCGGGGGTACTACTGCTAGTGCCAGAACACTTTTTTTTTGAGATGGAGTTTTGCTCTTGTCACCCAGGCTGGAGTACAATGGCATAATCTCAGCTCATCACAACCTCCGCCACTCGGGTTCAAGTGACTCTCCTTGCCTCAGCCTCCTGAGTAGCTGGAATTACAGGCATGCCCCACCATGCCCTGCTAATTTAGCATTTTTAGTAGAGACGAGGTTTCTCCATGTTGGTCAGGCTGATCTCGAACTTCCAGTCTCAGGTGATCTGCTCACCTCGGCCTCCCAAAGTGGTGAGATTACAGGTGTGAGCCACCACACCCAGCCCCAGAACGCTTTTTAAAACGTGATTCCTTGATTCTCACTGCTCAGTGCAGCGTGTATGGTACTCAGTGTAGAACCATGAATGTTCTTAGACCTTGGTGGGATTGGTGGGGTGTGGTCTTCAGACAGTAGTTGGTACTCAAAATATGCTTTCATTCTGATTCTAGCCAATTTTTTTTTTTTTTTTTTTTTTTAAGAGATGGAGTTTTGCTCTTGTTGCCCAGGCTGGAGTGCAATGGATTGATCTCAGCTCACTGAAACCTCCGCCTCCTGGATTCAAGCAGTTCTCCTGTCTTAGCCTCCCAAATAGCTGGGATCACAGGCATGTGCCACCACACCCAGCTAATTTTGTATTTTTAGTAGAGATAGGGTTTCACCATGTTGGTCAGGCTAGACTTAAACTCCTGACCTCAAGTCATACACCTGCCTCAGCCTCCCGAAGTGCTGGGATTACAGGTATGAGCCACTGCGCCCAGTCTTCATTTTTTAATGTTCTTAGTCATTTTGTGCTCTGGCCTGGAAGCTTTTCAAAATACATAGAACTGTAGATGTATTGGTTGGAACTCTTGAAATTTTTATTGGCTGGGCATGGTGGTTCACACCTGTAATCCCAACATTTTGAGAGGCCAAGGCGGGCTGATCCCTTGAGCCTAGGAGTTCAGGACCAGCCTGGGCAACATGGAGAAACCCCGTCTCTACTTTAAAAAGAAAAAAATAGCCGGGCGCGGTGGCTCAAGCCTGTAATCCCAGCACTTTGGGAGGCCGAGGCGGGTGGATCACGAGGTCGAGAGATCGAGACCATCCTGGTCAACATGGTGAAACCCCGTCTCTACTAAAAGTGCAAAAAATTAGCTGGGCATGGTGGCACGTGCCTGTAATCCCAGCTACTCAGGAGGCTGAGGCAGGAGAATTGCCTGAACCCAGGAGGTGGAGGTTGCGGTGAGCCGAGATCGCGCCATTGCACTCCAGCCTGGGTAACAAGGGTGAAACTCCGTCTCAAAAAAAAAAAAAAAAAAAAGAAAAAAATAATATTCTGGCATAATGGCTCATGCCTGTAGTTCCAGCTATCTGGGAGGCTGAGGTGGGAGGATCACCTGAGCCCAGGAAGTTGAGGCTGCAGTGAGCTATGATTGTGCCACTATTCTCTAGCCTGGGTGACAGAGTGAGACCCTGTCTCAAAAAAAGAAAAAAAAAAATTGTTATTTCAAGGAAGATAGTTTAGTTTTGAAGAACGAGGAAAAGAGGAATAATAATAGGTACTGGTACCTGGCTATTTTCAAGTCAGTCAGTGCTTTGTTTTTTGTGACCTTAGGTACATCCTCTTCCCTCTCATGACCTCAGTTTCTTTTTGCCAGCAAAGGAAAGTAGTATCAGTTCTTCTTTAGGGGGCATGAATAGCATTGTGTGAGTAAATGCAATACGTATAAGTTCTTTCACAGTCAATGAGTAGGATAGCCTCTGTTGGATAGGGGTACAGTGACAGGTGGCTCTGACCAAGGGACCCATGTGCTAGACACTAAGGTCTTAACTGCCAGTCGCCAGCCGTGTGATCCACTGCCAGAGGAGAGCAGGAACCCTTTGATTCCCCTTTTCCATTGCTTAGCTTTTCAGAGTAATTCCTGAGTGTGATGTGTTCTCTTTTTAATTCAGGTAGAATGGAAGAATCTCACTTCAATTCTAACCCATACTTCTGGCCTTCTATCCCCACAGTCTCAGGACAGGTAAGTGGTGTTGCTTTCTTGCTCTCCCTAACTCTCAGTAGTAAGTTCTGTTAACAATGGAGACCGAAGGTACACCACATGTTGTTTTACTGGGTCCTCCACCCCTGATAATTACTTGGTGTTTCTGTCTTGGCTTCTCTCTAGAAGGCCAAAGGTATGAACTACTCATCCTTGATTCCAACGGCGGACAGACACTAAAATGTGCTCACGAGCAGGCAAAACGATCTCTCAGTCTGAAGAGGGCACTCCCTTCCCCTTCCTTTTCTCTTAGATTGAGAACACAATGTTCATCAACAAGATGAAGGATCAGCTGTTGCCAGAAAAGGGCTGTGGGCTGGCTCCACCTCACTACCCCACCTTGCTGACAGTGCCTGCCTCAGTGTCCCTGCCCTCAGGCATCAGTATGGACACAGAGTCCAAGTCAGACCAGCTGACTCCACACAGCCAAGCGTCCGTTACCCAGAATATCACGGTGGTCCCTGTGCCGTCTACAGGACTGATGACTGCTGGTGAGCAACTCTGCTCTTCTCCAATCTGAGGTGTTGATCTTCCATGATCAGTACCCCAGACTAGAGGGCTCCAAGGACATGGGGAGTGGGATATGTGTTTGATTACTCAATCAAATTTTTATTAAGTGCCTACTGTGTGCCTAGCAATGTGCTAGGCATTGTGGGGGATACAAAGAAGTAGAAGATGCGGTCCCTGCCTTTGAGGAGGTGACATTCTTTCCTTCTCTGAATCAAGGAGTCTCCTGTTCTCAGAGGTGGAGAAGAGAAGGGAGTCAATCAAGGGGTAAATCTCACTGTTACCAGGGGGGTGGGGACAAGGGTTAGGAGACCATTATTTTTCTACAGGGTTTGGGGTTTCCTATGTATTCCGGGTTGGGTGGGGGCGGTGAGGGGTTAATTAGACAATAATCTGGGGGAGATGAAATAGGATTAAGATCAGGACTGAACAACATGACGCCATCTCCCTTTTCTCCCAATCCTAGGTCCGGGTTTGGTAATCACATCCCCCTCAGGCTCTCTTGTGACCACAGCATCATCAGCTCAGACCTTCCCCATTTCGGCTCCCATGATTGTCTCAGCTCTTCCCCCTGGCTCACAAGCCCTGCAGGTGGTCCCTGACCTCTCCAAGAAGGTAGCATCAACCCTAACTGAGGAAGGAGGCGGAGGTGGTGGTGGAGGTGGCAGTGTGGCTCCTAAGCCACCCCGGGGCCGAAAGAAGAAGCGGATGCTGGAATCAGGGCTGCCTGAGATGAATGACCCTTATGTCCTCTCCCCTGAGGATGATGATGACCATCAGAAAGACGGCAAGACCTACAGGTAAGACTCAGAGCCAGAGGCAGGATGGGGCGAGGATCCCTGGCTTGGTGATTCACCCTCCACCCTCATTGGGTTCTGCCCCAGTCAGGTGCTATGCTCTGACAGCTTCCCAGCTCTGAGCCGCTTGCATGTCAGGTGTCCCATCACAGGACAGGAGACAGAGCTGCTAGCATCTTGTTAGGATGCAGAGACCATTTCACCCTTTCCTTTGTTTAACCCTTGTTTTGGGGGGTCATTAGCACTGACCTATTTTTTAGTAACAAAGTAAAATTTCTTTCCTGTAGTAAGGCTTTATGCTGGATTTGAGACTCCATCTGGAGCTCCTTTTTGCTTTCTACATATTCCATTCCTATTTTTCTTTTTCTTTCTTTCTTTTTCTTTTTTCTTTTTTTTTTTTTTTGAGACAGAGTTTCGCTCTTGTTACCCAGGCTGGAGTGCCATGGTGCGATCTCGGCTCACCACAACCTCCGCCTCCTGGGTTCAGGCAATTCTCCTGCCTCAGCCTCCTGAGTAGCTGGGATTACAGGCACGCGCCACCACGCCCAGCTAATGTTTTGTATTTTTAGTAGAGACGGGGTTTCACCATGTTGAACAGGATGGTCTCGATCTCTTGACCTCGTGATCCACCCACCTCGGCCTCCCAAAGTGCTGGGATTACAGGCTTGAGCCACCGCGCCCGGCCCTTTTTTTTTTTTTTTTTTTTTTTTTTTTTTTAAGACACAGAGTCTCACTCTGTTACCAGGCTGGAGTGCAGTGGTGCAGTCTAGGCTCCACCTAGATTGAAACCTCTGCCTTGCGTGTTCAAGCAGTTTTCCTGCCTCAGCCTCCCGAGTAGCCGGGATTACAGGCACCCACCAGCATGCCCGGCTAATTTTTTTGTATTTTTAGTATAGATGGGGTTTCACCATCTTGGCCAGGGTGATCTTGAACTCCTGACCTCATGATCCACCCATCTCGGCCTCCCAAAGTGCTGGGATTACTGGTGTGAGCTACCGCGCCCAGCCTCCATTCCTATTTTTCTAAGAAATCTTCATGGTAACCTATGTGCCATCCACCAGTTCCTGAGCCATATTTGAACACCTAGCCTGCCTGACCCTGCATGGTTGGGATGATGGGAGGAATAGAATGCCTCCCCTTTGGAATATGTATTTATAGAATGACTTGCGTACTTTCTAATTTATGAAAGTCATTTTAATTCTCTGCTTCCTCTAAGTTCCCCTTTACCAAAAAGCATTAGATGCGTATTTGCATGTGCTACTATACAAAAATAATCACATAAATAAACTCTCTGCCCCTTGAAAACTGAACATCATTTAATCCCTTTGAGAGCTGTCACATGCCCTAGTGGGTTTGGGGAGTTTGGTAGCACTGTATAGAATGGGATAACTACTGTCACAGCTTTGATGCAGACAGGGGCAGATGTGCATGGCTGGGATCCTGGGTCTGTCCTTAGTTCCTTAGTGTACCCAGATGGGCAATGTTGTTCCCATTTTAGGAGCGAAGGGAACTGCGGCACAGGAAATGGACAGAGCCTTGGGCTCATGGATTCAGTTCCCGGCTCCACCACGAACTTGCTGTGTGACCCTGGGCAAGTCCTTTTTCCCTCTCTGGGCCTCAGTTTCCTCATCTATAAAATGGGGATAATTTTGTTTATGCCTCCCATGTCATCCCATTTGTTGGAAGTATATATCGGATAAGATTTGAAATGTTGGGAACTTCAAAAGAAAATTTAAAAATAGTTATTTGGCATTTATTTTTATTTGTGTTGTATGGTTCTGTGGAGAGTAGCCTACAGAGTGTTTAAATCGCTCTTTATAAGTGCAAGTGAGAGGAGTGTTGCTATGCAGAATTGAGCACTATGGAATTCCAGCTCATATTCCAAAAGTTCATTGCCGCTTTATTATTACAGGTGTACCCCACTTTAGACAATAAAAGTGTTCTTGGAAAATGTTTCCATCATATCATATTATAAAGGTACCTGACAAGTTTGATTCATTTAAAGGCATTCTTTTAGATATCATTTCACAAAATTAAAATCCCTTTTAAATCATTGTATAGAAATCAGGATTCTTATGTATTTGTTTCAAGTGAGGCCTTTGTGACATGGAGATACATCTATATAAAATTTGTTGCTGTGGAAGTAGTGGGAGGTTCCTTTAACGTCCTGTAGAGCCCTTCTAATGGATCAGGGTCCTCTCATTCTGCCCTTTCTTCACTGGAACCCATGTTAAAGCTATCCCTGGACTTTCCAAACTGTGTATCTTAAAAGAAATATGAATATTTAGTTGGAAGAAAGCCTCATAGGACTTTTGGAATTCCTGAATAACCCTCCACCCAGGTGACTAAAAAGAACTCTGAAATTGAAGGGAGACTAATTGTGTTCTAGGTAAACAGAATTTCTTTTTTTTTTTTTTTTTTTTTTTTTTTTTTGAGACAGAGTGTCGCTCTTGTTACCCAGGCTGGAGTGCAATGGCACGATCTCGGCTCACCGCAACCTCCGCCTCCTGGGTTCAAGCAATTCTCCTGCCTCAGCCTCCTGAGTAGCTGGGACTACAGGCACGCGCCACCATGCCCAGCTAATTTTTTGTATTTTTAGTAGAGACGGGGTTTCACCACGTTGACCAGGATGGTCTCGATCTCTCGACCTCGTGATCCACCCGCCTCGGCCTCCCAAAGTGCTGGGATTACAGGCTTGAGCCACCGCGCCCGGCCAGAATTTCTTTAGAAACTCAGAACTCTGAAATTCCAAGGAAATCTTTTTTTTTTTTTTCTTTTTTTTTTTGAGACGGAGTTTCACTCTTGTTACCCAGGCTGGAGTGCAATGGCGTGATCTCGGCTCACTGCAGCCTCCGCCTCCTGGGTTTAGGCAATTCTCCTGCCTCAGCCTCCTGAGTAGCTGGGATTACAGGCACGTGCCACCACGCCCAGCTAATTTTTTGTATTTTTAGTAGAGACGGGGTTTCACCATGTTGACCAGGATGGTCTCGATCTCTTGACCTTGTGATCCACCCGCCTCGGCCTCCCAAAGTGCTGGGATTACAGGCTTGAGCCACCGCGCCCGGCCCTTTTTTTTTTTTTTAATTACTGAGACAGACTCTTGCTCTGTCACCCAGGCTGGAGTGCAGTGGCATGATCTTGCAAACTCACTGCAATCTCTACCACCCAGGTTCTAGAGATTCTCGTGCTTCAGCCTCCCAAGTAGCTGAGACTACAGGTGCGTGCCACCATGCCCAGCTAATTTTTTTGTATTTTTAGTAGAGACAGGGTTTTACCATGTTGACCAGGCTGGTCTCAAACTCCTGACCTCAGGTAATCGCCTGCCTCGGCCTCCCAAAGTGCTGGGATTACAGGCATGAGCCACCACGCCTGGCAAAATATATCTTTTAAAATCACAATTAATTTCTATTTTGATGTATGTTGAGTCAGCCATATCCATTCCAGTGGTCGGTAGCATTTCACTGGGTATTGAGGGAATTAGGTTCTGGTACTCTGGGCAAGTCAACATATCTCCCACTCTTTGTTCCCATACGTAAAATGGGAAGATCAGCCATGCCTTCATCTATCTTATAGAAATGTTTTGAGGAAAAATCAGAATATTTGAAACTGTTTTGAGCATTTTAGGAAAAATGGATGATAATTCAAAGTGGTCATTGTAATCAAGGCCATTGCATTACATGCTTCCAAGGGGCCCCATTCTCATTGTGTTGGATGTGAATAGTCCCCCTGGAGGAATGCACCCAGTGGTATGGATGCTGGCTTTTCTATCCCATGCTGACGGTCACAAGTCTCCTAAATTAAATTTTTTTTTTTTTTTTTTTTTTTTTTTTGAGACATAGTCCCACTGTATAGCCCAGACTGGAGTACAGTAACACAATCTCGGCTCATTGCAACCTCTGCCTCCTGGGTTCAAATGATTCTTCTGCCTCAGCCTCCCTGGTAGCTGGGACTACAGGCATGTGCCACCACACCTGGCTAATTTTTTGTATTTTTAGTACAGACAGGGTTTCACTGTGTTAGCCAAGATGGTCTTGATCTCCTGACCTCGTGATCCACCCGCCTCGGCCTCCCAAAGTGCTGGGATTACAAACATGAGCCACCAGGCCCGGCCAAAATTAAAATTTCTTTCCGGCCACCTAGTACCTTGCATTAAAGGACTCTCACTCTCACTCTTACTTAGTTTCATAGGATTTTTGAGTTGGAAATATTTTAATGATCTTGGTCAGTCCCTTCCTGGTAGATGATTATAACCTCTGCTTGAATACCTCTGGTGTTAGGAATCTTAAAGTAGGCTGGCATCATGACTTTGTAGTGAATATCTGCCCTTGGCAAATTACTTTCTGAGTCTTTGTGTTCCTTTCTGTAAAACATGGATAAGACTTGCCAGGTTGTGAGGAGTAGAAACAATGTGTCTGAAGTGTCTAACCTAGTGCCTGGCACTGTCCGGCATAACAACAAATGACCCCTATTATTATCATTGTCCTCATCATTATTATACCTAGTGTCTTCTGAGATTGCTCATTCCCTTGCCAGCACATTGTAAATGAATTAAGTTTTGCAAGTTTTCTTATCAGAAACTTTAAGTAGGTTGTTTTTTTTTTAATTAACATTAATGTTAAGGGCAGAATTGTGTTGAACACCCTCATACACAAATTGATGAGATTTTATTTGAGTTAAAATAAATCTGTTATTCTACCTATCTCAGAAATTGTAGCATCAAGGGAAATTAGTTTGCAACTTAGTACAGTTGCCCTCCAAGTGACAGTGTGTCCAGCTTCTAATCTCAGTCTTAGTGAAATAGTATAGTATGGGCCGTGCGCGGTGGATCACAAGGTCAAAAGATCGAAACCATCCTTTTCAACATGGTGAAACCCCATCTCTACTAAAAATACAAAAAATTAGGTGGGCATGGTGGTGCGTGCCTGTAATCCCAGCTACTTAGGAGGCTGAGGCAGGAGAACTGCCTGAACCCAGGAGGCGGAGGTTGCGGTGAGCCGAGATCGCGCCATTGCACTCCAGCCTGGGTAACCAGAGCGAAACCCCGTCTCAAAAAAAAAAAAAAAAGAAAGAAAGAAATAGTATAGTATGAGCTCATCCATCAGCACTGAATGCTTAACATGAATGCAGTTTTATTACTGAAGAATACTTGGCTTACCTTTGACTGTCCTAGGTGTTTTGCTGGCCCTTCTGGGGGCAGAAATTTATCTCTCCATTTTACAGACCAGAAGATTGAGGTCTAGATTAATGAGCCAGCTTGTAACTGAACTCTGAGTAGAGCCCAGGCATCCTGATTCCCATTAGCTGTGTCCTTTGGATTATGCTCGCTATTAACAGAGCCTCCCCCTCTCTCCTGAGATGATTGCGCATCTCAGACAACTGCCAGGGATTGATAAGCTGGTAACTAAAAAATTCTCCTGAGATGAAAAAAGTGCAGAAATCACCTCACACCATCTCAAGCCTCTCTTGAAGAAGATAAGTTAGGGAGAGCCCAAAGAAGAGGGACTTGTGCTCATTGCCTGGCTTCCAGACCATTGCCTTTTCTACTAGCTTACGTTTTCACTGGTGAATTGTTTATGAAAATGAAAGATAGCTTTTACCCAGTCAAGTCTGAATAGTTGCGGCTTAACTTGCTCAGAGGCCTCCTTATCTGATATTGGTGGACCATACCAGAGTGGAAACAATTATCAGCTTGGGATGAGTGAAAGTACGATCAGGTGCTATTGATGTCAACCCGGAGTGCTGACACTGGCTGTGTGTGCTAGGGAAGAGGAAAGGTCTCGCATGGAAGATAGGTGTTTTGTAAACATTTTTCTCCCATGGCATCCTCCCCTAGCGGCTACACCTTGGTCATTGCAAAAGGGGTTATCACTTGATTGTCACAGGGCTGTGATCAGGGGGTGGGCAGACGATGTATGGAACATCAGATAAGAGGGTGGAGAGCAGACATACATGGTTTGGAAAAGCCCCTCCAAATAATTCTGCTATTTCCCCACCCCCATCCCTCTAGGAATTACTGCCAAAAAGGAAGTAGGGAAAAATCTGAGAGCAGAAAATTATCTGTGGAGACAGGGGAGTATCTAGTTAGTTGTTCCTCATTATTGTTTAGGAGTCTTGAGGAATACAGAGGGATGTACTTCATACATGGGAACATTAGGGAAAGGAATTCCTTAAATGTTTGAAATCAAGCTGTAGGCAGAGGGAAAACAAATTAACTGGTATTCCTGGCCCGTTGAAATTCACATCTGCCCAGAGTTTATACTGTTCTCTGTTTTACCTGGTTGAATTCTTATTTTTGCACATTCAGGCAGTCCAGTCATTCAGCAAACGTTTATTGAACATTTATAATGTGCTATGCACCATGTTAGAAGATAGGCCATAAAGATGAATACATAGAGCTCTACTCTCAAGTTGGAGTAGGAGAGAGCTCAGATAGGTGGGCTTCTCTTTGAAGTAGACGGGAGGGTTTAGCCATACCCTCTTGGTGGGAAGGGTTCTAACCATTGCCCTCACTTGGCTCAGGTGCCGGATGTGCTCACTGACATTCTACTCAAAGTCGGAGATGCAGATCCACTCCAAGTCACACACCGAGACCAAGCCCCACAAGTGCCCACATTGTTCCAAGACCTTCGCCAACAGCTCCTACCTGGCCCAGCACATCCGTATACACTCAGGGGCTAAGCCCTACAGTTGTAACTTCTGTGAGAAATCCTTCCGCCAGCTCTCCCACCTTCAGCAGCACACCCGGTAAGGCAGCTCTTGGTTACCCCACCACCTGGCCATGAACCCCGAGACCACGTTGTCTGCACCTGCTCCTCTCTCCACATGGATTCTTTTTTCCCTTTCACCTTTGCCCATTGGTAGCTTCGATCTCCTGTTACTGTGTGTGGAAATTACATATCCTAGAATTTGGGGGGCCTTGAAAATTGCGGTCTCCAATTCCAAAGTCTGGAACAATTTTTGTGGTTTCTCTTTGTGTCTGTGTTTGGAAATCTGCAGAGCAGGCCTGCTTTTACTATATGCTTCAGTTCAGAGCCAAGGTGTGCATTCAACTTGAGGTCCATGGGGAACAGGCGGTATTGGTCTTTGTTCAGATTACTATTTGGAAGCAGGGTGTCTGTGGTGAGTGTGTTAACCTTAGGAAAAAGCGGAGGGTTGACGAGACTGACTGCTTTAAGGTTACCAAGAGCCATGGGTTGCAGCTCTTCATCATCTCACTGCCATTCTAGCCACCGACTTACAATCAGCAACAACCTAGATCTGGGTATCCTCTTCATTCGCCTATCCAGGCTGGAGTGTTTTGGGAGGAGGGAGGAAGGGGCTGCTCTCATCCGTCAAGCAACATCATTTCACCCAGCAGAGAGCTGAACCCCTGGTGTCGAACTGCTTCCTCCTCCCCCCTTCCCTCCTCTCCTCTCCGGCAGGATCCACTCCAAGATGCACACGGAGACCATCAAGCCCCACAAGTGCCCGCACTGCTCCAAGACCTTCGCCAACACCTCCTACCTGGCCCAGCACCTCCGTATCCACTCGGGTGCCAAGCCCTACAACTGTTCCTACTGCCAGAAGGCCTTTCGCCAGCTCTCCCACCTCCAGCAGCACACACGGTAAGGGAGAGTGGCGGGCTACTGACCCCGCCCCGCTGGCATGCCCTCCCCACCCCCGCCCCGGACACACACAACAACCCGCATGCGGGGGGCGGGGGAGAGACCTGGCTGGAGGAGAGAACCTGGCTGGCATCTGGGAGAAGGAAGACCAGACAACATTGGAGATTCAAGTGGACACTAAGAGAGAGCCTCTCTGGGGCAAGAGCTACGTCGGGGAGCTGCAGGGACTCTGTGATACTCACTGATCCCGTCGGGGAGCTGCAGGGACTCTGTGATACTCACTGATCCCGTCAGGGAGCTGCAGTGACTCTGTGATACTCACTGATCCCGTCGGGGAGTTGCAGTGACTCTGTGATACTCACTGATCCATGGGAGACAGACACATACATGGAGTGGAAACAACTTTTCTTTTTTCTCATTTTCCTCCCTGAAAATACTCATGTACTCATCTTGCAAGATTTTTCCCTTGATGCCAAAGCAGAAGCATTTGAGTGGAGAAGACCATACCTCTAAGCCCTTAGGGTACCAATTATGAACAGGAGAGAAAACCAGACATTAGCTGGGCACCAGCCTGATGACACCCACAGCAACAAGCAAGGCTCCGAGGGATGCCAAGAGTAGAGAAGAAAACAAAACATGTACCAAATATTCACAGAGAAGCAGCAAACAGGAAATTGTAAAGCTCACGCTTCATAAGGATGCTCAGTGTTTATCCCGGGAATCTGGAATGACTAGAAAGAAGGGAACCTGCCAACCAGAAGAGGTGATGATCTCCTTCAGTGCTATCTCAGTTTGAACAGGAGTCCAGATGTACAGGCCATAGGGCCTCTCACCCGGCTTGTGGATGTGATGATCTCACCTTAAAGTGATCAGACATGTTGCTTTGAGAAGAGGAGGAGTCAGGCTTTCTTCACAGAGAAGAGACGTGTTCTGTGATGTTTTCAAGATTTTATACCGGAAGTCCAGAAAAGCACTTGGTCATAGAGATGGTTCTGAAGTCACTGATGAGGAGCAGGTGTCACTGCTTATCCTAGCAGAGGATCCTATAGTGTTGGGGAAAGAGGTCAAAAATTGATAGTAAAGTAAGCATTTCCTGCCATTAGAGGGCTGGACTACAAAAAGCCCTTAGGAGTTTTCATGAGTTTCCATTAATATCACTATTACTCTCCATAGCCAGTGTAACTTTGCTTTTCTATGATTCCATAACATTCTCTGGAAGTGATGCTCAAGGCTGAGGGAACAGTTTCTGGCTATAACATGGGACCAAGGAAGACACGTTGTGCTTTTCTTTCTCCTTGCCATTCTGTTTATCTTATGTTCTTGAATGTTTGTTAGGACAGTCACTGTAGGAGGACTGCCTGTCCCTTGGGTGCTGAGTCCTCGGTCTTCCTCCCCCAGCAGAGGGGAGGCTCAGCTTGAGCTGAGTGATGGAGACATTGACCAGAAGCAAGGCATTACAACCTGATCCACATCAGAGAGGAAGGCTCGTGCCTCTTGGAGGCCCATCTGATGTGCCTCCTTAGGAGAGAAGGATTGGCCTGGAGAAGATTTGTTGAGCCAATTCCTAAATAGTCTTGCTGACATTCTTTCCCTTTCTTCTCTTCCTATCCTGTACAGAATCCACACTGGTGATAGACCATACAAATGTGCACACCCAGGCTGTGAGAAAGCCTTCACACAACTCTCCAATCTACAGGTAAATGTACCACCCTCCACACAAGACCTTGATCTGAGACCTGGGGCCGTTTGAATAGTACACAGGTTCTCAGATGTTTTCAGGACTCCTTTACACTCAAAAGTGTTGAGTGGGACCCGAAGTGTTTTTGTTTTTGTGGGTAATAGCAGCTATTACCCACATAAACATGAAACTGAAAAACATTAAAAATATAATAGTAATCTGTTTAGAAAGAACAAAAATAAACCACGTGTGTTAACATAAATAATATATTCCAAGACCCTCCAAAAACAACGGATTAAGAAGAATGGGATTATTACACATTTTTGCAGGTATCTGTTTTTTATTTTTGGGACAGGACCTTGCTCTGTCACCTAGGCTGAGTGCAGTGGTATGATCATGACCCACTGCAGCCTCAGCCTCCTGGGCTCAAGTGATCCTTCCACCTCAGCCTCCCAAGTAGTCAGGATTACAGGCATGTACCACCACACCTGGCTGGTTTTTTAATTTTTGTAGAGATGGGGTCTTGCCGTCTTGCCTAGGCTGGTCTTGAATTCCTGGACACAGGCCATTCTTCTGCCTCAGTCTTGCAAAAGTGCTGGGATTATAGGCATGAGTCACCGCACCTGGCACAGGAGTCTTTAATTGAGCCAGAAGATGAATAGATTGTTGTATCTGCTGCATCTGGTCTATTGTGTTATCACATGTCATGTAACCTCTGTAAATGTTACATGTAAAACATAAGGCAAAATGAAGCCACTTGAAATTTTGAGGGAAGCAAGATTTCAGTTAGGATTTTTGTTTCGATTTGTTTTGTTTTTGAGACAGTCTCACTCTGTCACCCAGGCTGGAGTGTGGTGGTGTGATTCAGCTCACTGCAACCTCCACTTCCCAGGTTCAAGAGAGAAAGGCAAACATTGTCTTATTATTTTGAAAAGAGTTTTGATCCTCTGGGTCCCCTGCAAAGGTCGTAGTGTTCCCTAAAGATCCCCACACCTCACTTTAAGAACCACTGGACTGGTGAGATGGGCACAAGCTGTCTCGGGATCCTGGTATGCGCCACATGAGGTATGCCTTCTCCCTTAGCCTGTAGCTTCTCAATTCCCGTTTGAAGCAGTTTCTACTTTCTTCAGATAGACAGAGAAGCTGGGAGGTCTGACATCTACATCCACCTTTGTGCTTTCGTCGAGGTCAAGTGGGCAGGAAGGAAGAGTACAATGTATTCATTCTGGTTTCTCCCAATTTTCTCAGTCCCACAGACGACAACACAACAAAGATAAACCTTTCAAGTGCCACAACTGTCATCGAGCGTACACGGACGCAGCCTCACTAGAGGTGCACCTGTCAACGCATACAGTGAAGCATGCCAAGGTGTACACCTGCACTATCTGCAGTCGGGCATACACATCAGTGAGTGCTCCATTTCTTCTCTTTCCTTCCTGATAGTCCTCTAAGAGTACAGTCCACTTCACCCCGTTTTCTCGATACAGATCTATTGCAGTGAATACCCTGCCTCCTTAGCTCCATCTTAGCAGAACAAGTAAAGATTCAGAAATTAGGCTCATAAGCTGAGGAATTTAGGGGATGCCTGATTCCCTAATCCTACAGATAGATAAATTGTAATTCGTCCTTTTTTTTAAACATAAGGCAAAATAAAGCCAGTTAAAATGTTGAGGGGGAACAAGATTTCAGTTAGGTGGTGTTTTGTTTTGTTTTTTTTTGAGACAGAGTCTTGCTGTGTCACACCCAGGCTGGAGTGCAGTGGTGTGATCTCTGCTCACTGCAACCTCCATCTCCTGGATTCAAGAGATTCTTTTGCCCCAACCTCCCAAGTAGCTGGGAATAGGTGCGTGCCACCATGCCCAGCCAATTTTCATATTTTTAGTAGAGATGGGCTTTCACCGCGTTGCTCAGGCTGGTCTTGAGCTCCTAACCTCAAGTGATCCATCTGCCTTGGCTTCCTAAAGTACTGGGATTACAGATGTGAGCCACCACACCTGGCCCAGCTAGTTAGGTATTTTCCATGAGACTCCAGAAAAGGTTGTAAAGTTGTTTCATTCAGGGGTCTTCGAAAAAAATTGCAGCTGATTCCTTTGCCAGTTGAATGTTCACAGTGACTTCTAAAGGTTTCCCTCTCTTTTCTTAATAATGAGCCACTGGCTGGGTGCTATGGCCCATGCCTGTAATCCCAGCACTTTAGGAGGCCGAGGCAGGTGAATCATGGGGTCAGAAGATCAAGGCCATCCTGGAATGAAACCCCATCTTTACAAAATACAAAAAATTAGCCAGGCATGATGGCATGCGCCTGTAATCGTAGCTACTCAGGAGCCTGAGGCAGGACAATCACTTGAACCTGGGAGGCAGAAGTTACAGTGAGCTGAGATTGTGCCACTGTACTTCAGCCTGGGAGGGAGACAGAACAAGACTCCGTCTCAAGGAGAAAAAAGCATCCACGTGTTTGGGGAGGGAGATGGGAAGCAGTGAGCCACTGAAAGTGCTACTCGAGTTTTGTTCACTTCTGGCTCCAGAAAACCAGTATAAGTATAAAGCTTACTCTACTTAACAGCAAAGTCAGCCTGGGGTGCTAATTACAAGTAATCTGTTTTCCTTCCCTTTCGTCCCTCAACTTTTTATCATCTCCCTCAGGAAACATACCTTATGAAACATATGCGCAAACACAACCCTCCTGATCTTCAGCAACAAGTGCAAGCAGCAGCGGCGGCAGCAGCAGTGGCTCAGGCTCAGGCCCAGGCCCAGGCTCAGGCTCAGGCCCAGGCTCAGGCCCAGGCCCAGGCTCAGGCTCAGGCCCAGGCTCAGGCTCAGGCCCAGGCCCAGGCTCAGGCCCAGGCCTCCCAGGCATCACAGCAGCAGCAGCAGCAGCAGCAGCAACAGCAGCCACCACCACACTTCCAGTCTCCTGGGGCAGCCCCCCAGGGTGGGGGTGGTGGGGACAGCAACCCCAACCCTCCACCCCAATGTTCCTTTGACCTGACTCCCTATAAGACAGCAGAGCATCATAAGGACATCTGTCTCACTGTCACCACCAGCACCATCCAGGTGGAGCACCTGGCCAGCTCTTAGAGATCCGTGCTGTCACCCACTGGGAAGAGGAAAACGTCCTGGTCTCTTCTTTCTCCAGCTCCTCTTGGTGGGAACAGTCCTCTTCTTCCTTGACAGGCCTTGGCTCCATCTCCTTGGGCCTCAGGCACGGCTTTCCTCCACAAGATACCATCCTTTTTCTGAACTCTTCAAAAGGAACATCAGCCCTCCTGATTGCAAAGGAATACTGAGCTTATGGTGTCATCCAGCAGCCTCCCCTCCCAAGCAAAGCTTTTAAAATTGGGGGTTGGTGCTCAAGGGAAGGATTTGCTATGACCTCATAGAAACGTGTCCAGCGTGGTCACTTACCTTATCCTTACCCTCCTTATCCTCAAAGTTTGGGCTGATAGAAGACTAGAGGCTGGTCCTCCCAGATTACAGAGAAAAGGGAGCCCCAAATGCAACCAGCCTCTTGTTCTATTCTTGCCTGCAAAAGAACAGAGGTTTCTTATATGCCTCAGTCCCTGAGAGCCATTTCTTCCCCTACATTGTCTCACTTCACTTCCTATTGACTGCTGGTCGAAGGAGATTTTGGGGTAGGGGTTAGACCTCCTTTTATTTAAAGGGGGCAAGGGCTGAGATGTGGTCCCCAAGGGGCCAGAAATTCCCAAGTTGGTCACAGGTGGCTTAGAAGTGTGGGTTATGGTTTTATGGATTTCCTTGGAGCCTCTCTCCTCCTCCTCTGCGTAAACAGACCCTACACTCTCAGTCTCCCCAGCCCAACCCCCAAGGTGCTGTGGGAGGCTTTGTGTTCTCTGTGAAACTCCAAAACAGGGATGTTGCAGAGAAGGGAGAGTTCAAGGCAAACGCAAGGACTGGACTTAGCTCCCTAGGTGCCACGGTCAGATACTGGACACGGATTTATATATAAATATATATATATATAAATATATTATACCCACTCATCACGGCCATCATTGTTGTAACCATTTCTGTGTTTATAAATGCATTATCTCTGAGAATTTTCACATTTGATGTTTTGTTTATTTTATTTTTGTCCTTTTCCCCCCCTCCACCCCTGTCATCTGGCCACAGCATTTTTCTTTTTGTCTTTTTTTTTTTTTTTTTTTTAATCATGGCAGATTTCAGAGAAAAGGAAATTTAAAAGAAAAATCAGAAATCAGTTGTTATAAAGCAGTTTAAAAATTAAGAAAAAAAAAAAAACTTATGTACAAACCAAGGGGTGTTTTTAGAACATTGTATAGAAATAAATTCATGTAAAAGGATCAGAGGCAGTGGAGCTGCTGATGTGAGTGAGCATGCGGGAAAGGTCTCTGGGTAGATGTCCACGCACAGTTCTGAGGATTTATACCAGAGTGGGTGTGATGAACGAGTGCTTGTGTGATGATGCCCCCATGTGTGTGATTCTCCAGTCACGGAAGGGCACAGTTTCATTAGCTTTCAAGTGAAATTCTGGTTTATGAAGACTTCTACATACACATTCTGTCATGGGGATGGCATTGCCTAAATACGTGAGAGCAAAGTTTTGCTTACGTGTCAACAAACAGCTAAGCTCCCTATGGAAGAAAAGTGGAAGCCTCTTGAAAGGACCTGCACTCCTGCCTGAGTCTCTGTGGAAGAAGGGCTTCCAACTGGCAATGTGTATGTATATGTATGTTCATTATCTTGTGGAAATCATAACCAGTTAAGGGGTGCAAGATTGATTTATGCAGGAGAGCTGTAGTACTGTGGAGTAGAATGTAGTCAGGAAACATAGACTTCAGCCCTTTGCCTACCGTCAACCAGTGCTGGCCAGGGTGATTCGTCAACTGTTAGTGAAGGGATTGGACTAAATAACTCTCAAGATACCTTTTTTTTGAGAATTAAGAACTTTGCTTAAAGGCCAGGTGCCATGACTCACACCTGTAATCCCAGCACTTTGGGAGGCCAAGGCAGGCAAATGACGAGTTCAGGAGTTCAAGACCAAACCACATCTCTACTAAAAATACAAGAATTAGCCAAGCATGGTAGCTCACTCCTGTAGTCCCAGCTACTCAGGAACCTGGGGCAGAAGAATTACTGGAACCTGGGAGGCAGAGGTTGCAGTAAGCTGGGATGGCACCACTGCACTCCAGCCTGTGCCACAGAGTGAGATTCTGTCTCAAAAAAAAAAAAAAAGAAAAGAAAACCTTGCTTTAAGCATTGAAAAAGTTGTGACCAAACTCTCACATCCAAGAATTGGTGGTTCTCTGGGACTGCTGGCCAACAGTACTTACCTAGTTGGGCTGGGATAGTTAAAGTAAGTACCTACTTGTTTTAGTGCTAGATATCCTCTGTGGGCACTTAAGATGGTGTCTCTATGGTGTGATACCAATTAATGTGTCACATATGACCAAATATGCCAGTGTTTCTTAGCTCCCTGAGTATTTTCTTTTTGCTCCCACTCATCAACTCTTGAAAGGCCTTAATGGCCCTAACTTCACCAATATTAGAACCAGAATCTAATCTATGGATACACTCACATGCACTCACTGCAACAACCCAGGAGGCAGTTTAGTATTCTTACTGTATAGTAAAACAGGCACAGAGATTAAATTACCAAAAAGCATGACTCTCATAATTAGAGTGAAATCTTCTGGATTCTCTTGCCTGTATACTGGTAAACCTGGTTTTAGGGGCTACAGAGCCTTTGAGCCCTGATCCCCCTGCCACTCGGCCCCTGACCCCCTCCTCCAGCCTGCTCTTACTGTCCAGATAATGTTCTAAATACATCCCTGCCGCCATCTCGAAGCAAAACAAAGTAACTTGCAATCTGCCCTGGGTTGGAAGTTGCTCTTCTTCACACATAATGGTAGAAATCATATAGCTCAAAGTCCGTCTCATTAAAAACTTGTCATAAGACATTGATAATTCTTATTAAGGATGGGTATGAAAGGTGTGAGAGATAGCAGTTATCTCTAAGATAGTATCTGACTAACACCACTATTACGTTATGGCCCTTGAGTTCTGTTTGCCTAGTGTGTTGGCAGCCTCTCGTGCCCTTGACTGCTTTCCATTCTAATGAAAACCATAGAAGTCATGGCTGACTAGAGCGATGGCTGGCAACTAACTACTAGCCCAGTAGTAATACTGCTCCATACCCTCAATCCCTTCAGAATCATGGTACTAACATCACATATAAACAAAAGCAAAAGAACATGAGATTTCCCCCTTAAGAGAGTAGCAAGAGGGGCCAGGCGCAGTGGCTCACTCCTGTAATCCCAGCACTTTGGAAGGCCAAGGTAGGCGGATCACCTGATGTCGGGAGTTAAAGACCAGCCTGACCAAAGTTTACCTGGGATTACCTAGTGCCTGTAATCCCAGCCACTCGGGAGGCTGAGGCAGGAGAATCGCTTGAACCCAGGAGGCGAAGGTTGTGGTAAGCTGAGATCACATGCCATTGCACTCCAGCTTGGGCAACAAGAGCAAAACTCTGCCTCCAAAGCAAGAGGGCAAGGCTGAAAGTAATATTTTATATATGAAAGTGTATTTGAGGCCGGGCGTGGTGGCTCAAGCCTGTAATCCCAGCACTTTGGGAGGCCGAGGCGAGTGGATCACGAGGTCAAGAGATCGAGACCATCCTGGTCCACATGGTGAAACCCCGTCTCTACTAAAAATACAAAAAATTAGCTGGGCATGGTGGTGCGTGCCTGTAATCCCAGCTACTCAGGAGGCTGAGGCAGGAGAATTGCCTGAACCCAGGAGGCGGAGGTTGTGGTGAGCCGAGATCGCGCCATTGCACTCCAGCCTGGGTAACAAGAGAGAAACTCCGTCTCAAAAAAAAAAAAAAAAAGAAAAGAAAAGAAAGTGTATTCGAGCGTAAAGGACAGGAGCTCTGAATAAAAGGTGTGCAGAATTATAGCTTTATTGAGTCATTCTTTGTATTTATAAGTAGAAAGTTGACAATCTTTCTCAAGTTAAAAAAAATGATGCTGGGGGAGACGGCGTTTGTGTGAGTTAAAAGAAATGAAGAGGGTTTAAATCTCTCAAGGCCTGATACTCCTCAACTTCCTTAAGAAACCAGATGGCTTGAAAAAAGTCATATTCCGCAAAAGAGGGAAAAAAATGTTGGATCTTCCAGTTGCTGAGAAGGGATGTTTACACAATATAATCCTAAAGAGAACAGTTACCCCCGCACCGATTACCATGCTTTCCCGTTTTGGAGGGAAAAAAGTTTGCCAGTGGATGCAAAATGGCGACCTCCAGTGACGTCATACCTGCCGCGGTCGCGTCCTGGGGTCTCTGTAAGGGCGGAAGCGGGCTACAGCCGCCTCGCTATGGGCCGTCGTGGCTACCATGCAAAAGGAAAAGTTTCAGCGTCGGGCGGATGTGTGCCGACGGTAATTTAGTAAGGGCGGAAGTTTCCCTTTTAAGGGCGGAAAAGCTTTAACCCCAAAATGGCTTCGGCCCCTGTCGCGTTACAGTCACTTCCGGGGCAGATCGGAAGTTGCTTTGTTTTGCTTCGAGATGGCTGCAGGGATGTATTTGGAACATTATCTGGACAGTAAGAGCAGGCTGGAGGCGGGGGTCGGGGCCGTAGAGTGATGGGGGGGATCAGGGCTGAGAGGATCTGTAACCCTTAAGTCCCAGTGATGAGACAGTCACAATTGTGAAGGGGTTCTGTGGCAGGAAATATTGGAGGGTGCGGAGAAAGAGGGGGCGGGGCAGCAGGATCAAGGCCCTGCTGTTGGGTGTCGGTGAGGGAGGGGCTGCGGGGTGGGGGTTAGGGATGTATCTTGAAGGGCTAGGATGCTTGGCCGGGAGGATAATTGCTGCCCCCATTCTCCAGCGTCTCAAGCCTCGGTAGATTTTTTTTTTTCCCCATAGTCGTTCAGAATCGGTATCACCCACTGCCATTTGGAGCAGCAGTAAAGACCTCTCCTCCACTCCATTCTTACTCAGAAGTGGCTTCTCATGGGGTTCAGAGTGGTGGTGGTGAGTGACCACTGTCAGATAATGAACTGGAACCGCTTCTTTTCAAGGAGTAAAGATCTATTTCCCATCAAATGAAAATCTGGTGTTTATGCCATTTGTGTAAACCACCCCTGCACAAAGCCTACTGCCCTGTGCACTTAACGTTTGTTTTAGGGTCTGGAGTCGTTTATTCAACAAATATTTATTGAGGTCCTGCTGTGAGTCAGACATAATATGAGGCACTGGGGTTAGAAAAATGAATAAGATGAGGCCCCTGACCTCAGGAAACTCATAATCTAGTAGGAAACAGATTCTGCAAATAATTATAAAACACTGTGACAAGTGAAATAATGGAAATACATTAAAAAGGACAGTTGGTAGGCAACGCTGGAGAAAAAAGGAGATAATTACCTGGGGATGTAGAAAAAGCTTTACAGAGGAGGTGATGTTTGAATAGGGTCTTGAAAGTTATTTGCCAGTGAGGAGAGAAAAAAAGAAATTCCAGGTTGGGAAAAGCATCAGCAAAGGTAGCGTGATGGGTTTGTGGCAGTGTCAAGGGTGTTTGATATGACCCATAAGGTCAGCATATTTGATATTTATGACTCTAAGGTAAGAGATTGAGAAACAAGATTGGAGAAAGAGGCTGAGGCTAGATGGGATGGGGTCTTTTAAGCCAAACTAAAAAGTTTGCATATTAAAGTAGAGTGATTTTTATAAAGGAAAATGGTTGATATATGGTAAATTAGAGCATGATAACGTTGGTAACAGAGATCAGTTAGTGATAACATTGCAGGACGGAGATAAGAATCTGATTTTAGGGAGATACAGAAGTATTTAGGCTGAGACAGGTGAATCACCTGAGATCAGGAGTTCCAGACCAGTCTGGCTAACACGGTGAAACCGCATCTCTACTAAAAATTATCTGTGCGTGGTGGCAGGTGCCTGTAATCCCAGCTACTTGGGAGGCTGAGGCACGAGAATCCCTTGAACCCGAGTTCACACCATTGCACTCCAGCCTTGGTGACAAGAGCAACACTGCATCTTGAAAGAAAAAGTTACTCAGAGAAGAAAAGATCATGCCAACTGCTGCAGAGTTATTTTTTAGGGTAGGCCTAATAACACCATTTGATTTGGTAAGTAACCAGTGACCTGGTGGTAGCAGACCTGAGGTTGTCAGTTAAAACAGTAGAGGCATTTTAATTTTTTTTTTTTTTTTTTTTTTTTGAGACGGTGTTTCGCTCTTGTTACCCAGG